TGTGAGGTCCCAATGGTTATCATCCTCCAATAAATGTAACTCACGACACGCATCAAAGAAAGTGCCGTATAAAGTACCGTTGACTTTTCGCAAGTATTGGAAGGATGTCGGTCCAGGAACGTTAACCAATAACAAACGCAGAAAAAAGCATTCGCGTTGCTTAGGATGAACTGTATATAATCGTCCTAAAGTATTTGTCATAACTATGTCGGCAAATCCTGGGACTGGAGTGCCTCGTTTCCGTGGTTCCCAACTTTTTGATTGTTTATTCCATGTAAAAAATTTAGGAACATCAGTATACATTAATGTCTTTGCAAATTCACCAACAATATCTTGTCGATTACAAAGGTTGAAAAATTCAGTAAGAGTTGTTTTTGGAGCTGTTAAAGCTTGTTGTAGTGCATTCTGTTCTGTGGAATAAACACGCTGTCCATTTTCAAGATGCACAGCCAAATGTACTACAGCAGGATCCCTTTCATGTATAGGAAATGTAAAAATTCGCCAAATAGCTTCATTACTACTTATGTATCGTCCCATTTGATAATGTGTTATTTTGTCATTCTCATTTACATCTTAAACAGCAAATATAGCTTTATCACCGCCCTTATGAACGTACTTACAAATGTACTAGATAGACTTCACCGAACTGCATAACTCAACGTTTATGTGTGCTTTATAGGTTTTGCACAGCAATGGTGAGTATGGAACCACCCAGCGATTATCGATGTCAACTTTTACACCGTTTGATAGACGCAATTCATATGATTGACCGCCATTGTCTACATCTCTACGACGGTAAGATGGATAACCATCAATATTGGTGATAGTGTCCGTTTGACATGGTTTAGGAAAACGTTTCGTACATTTTCCATTATCCATACATGGTGACATCATGTTGAGAGAACCACATGAACCATGAATCATATTAGTAGTCACAATGTCAAACAATTCTTGATCAACATTCGGATTTGGAATTTCCGCTGAAATAATTTTGTCAATTTATTCTGGGCGTACTTTGTCCACCAACCAAATCCAAATATGCGCATGAGGTAAACCTCGTTTTTGTCATTCAACAGAATAAAGCCAACATCGCGTTTCACCAATTACCGAGTGATGTGTAATCAATTTCATCAGAGTTTTCAATTTTTGTTTGAACACACACGCAATGATATGTTGGCGATGCATCGATGCTTGACCTGATAACAGCAAATTTTTTATTTCATCCCAGTTTGGATTACAGGTAAATGTGATAAAAAGATCTGGTCGGCCGTATGCGCGTACGTAAGTCATGGCGTCTTGAATATATTCTTGCGTATGACGTGGACTACCAATGTATGATGATGGAAGAATATATGCGGTACCGATGTTGTTGATATCATTCGTTGCATCTACGCTACCGATTATGGCGTCACGCAAATGAATGTGCTCCTCAGAACGAAGTTTCGCTTGATTAAATTTTATATAACGCAATCTCTCACTTTCGATTTTTACATACATATCAACAATGTACTGATGTAATAGCTGTCTGCATCGGAGAATGTTAATATCTTCAGTTTCACGAATCATCAACCGGTATGCGTAGAAGTTCATCGCACTAACTTTCTTGATTAGTTCTTCACCTGTAAATAAAACTATTTATAAGATAAACCGAAATAATTGGTTAAAAAAAAAACTACAAAATAATCTATAAGTTGTGCCTGTTGTTGGATTCCTTTGTTTAATATTTAAATTATATCCATCTTCTCCTTCCCAAAATATCAACGGATATTGCAGTGCGTCGTAAGAACGATGATTGTCTTGAATTATTTGTATTGTATTATCTCTGCGCTGTATGCGAATATCTTGACGTTCACATGGGTCACCAGCCATAACAACTGCAACTTCATTAACAGTTGGAACATTATATGTGCCTGCGTGCTCTCCATAGGGCACTTTGTCTGCTTTAATAACAATGGCGTAGTTGTCGTTTTGCAGTCTGTTGGAAAGAGTCTTGAACAATCGTATCAATTGGTTATAGTTTTGCAAGAACGTTTCCAAAATGTCCACAATTTCTCGTTCCTCCATCTGCTCTATATGGTTGTATACGAATCGTGTATGAGTTTGTTGCTCCTTATCGCCCATAAAGTAAATTTGTAAGAATTTTGGATCGACATTAGGCATTGGAAGCAATGAACCAATTTGGTGGTACAGTTGACCTTGAATCTTAAATGTAGTTTCAAAATTACGGCCATCCTCATTATGAACAATTTTTGTTGCTGCAAATGAATGCATTTGAAAGCAAGAATTTAATTTACGAATTTTCCGCAAAAACAATTTCGATTTGGATGCGGTTCCAGCTAATAATGTTTTCAAAGGTTCCGGTGGTGGATTTAACGGTGGAAGTGAAATTTTTCCAGATGCGCAATATAAACCAGCTGATTCACCTTTGTACTTTAAAGCATGACAATATTGACACTCGTTGTACCGATTAAGATTAATGCATGTGACGAATAGTCTATTTCAGGGTCATATTCAAACACAAGACGATTAAGTGATGCTCGTATCAATGCTCGATTATCTTGCATTCGCCGTTGGTTACGTTCTCTGTTTTCGTTGATCGCTCGTTGGCGTGTCTCTCGTTGTCTTAATGGATTTGCACGAAGACGTTGATTGCGTTGCTCTGAATTTTCATTTTCACGTGAAGATGCAACTTGATTTCTTGAACTCACATTATCCGTCAAGTGTTCTTCAACTGCTCTATTCAATGGACCAATTGTGCGTTTCGAGTACGTCGACCAATATTTCTTGCTCTTCCACGAAGACGTGGCATTTCTTTGTATGACAAAATACTGTGAAATAGTACATAAAAAATATGAGTAATTTATTGAAAATGATATTTTAATTAAGTAACAGGACTGAAAAGATTTATTGTACCAAATTTTAGATAAAAAATGTGTAATTTTATTTTTTTGCTTTTTTTTATTTAATATTTCAAATAAGAAATTTTAAATAAAAACAATTGAGAAAGTTTTATATGAAATCAATTAGCTTCAGAAATAAATTTATAGGTTAGAGGGGTTGTTAACCAACTCACGTATAAATTCGATCTAAAATTATACAAAATACTCACTTCAATTCCGCACTGAATCTACAAAATGTGTAGTTTTTTACATTTTTAAAATGCACACTTCAAAACTCTTCAAACACAATAATAACACGAAATTACAAATTCTATTCAACGAATCTTTTTCCTGCTCCCTATTAAATTATATGTGTAACAAAGCGAACTAAAAAAATATTTACAGAAAGATATGACTTTTTTTTTATGCTAGTGAGAACCAAAACAATATGGAAATGAATGAGGGAAAACTGGATCCTACCACGTGATTTCCCGGCCAATAAAAATGTAGCGTTAAACGTTTAACGCAACCTT